TTCCACTTTGCTAACAACGAAAAAAATCGATGAATCGGTCTCTGTGGATGTCATTTCATTCAAGATCTCTCTATCCTGGCAAGGAAACAAATAACAATTGGTATTAATTGACGATATATAAGACTGTGTAAAGAAAAATCACCATTAACTATTAGATCTTTTTCACGCATAGAAATAGAGGGCGAATAATCTAGTCGTTTTATTATAAATTTGCTAATTATTCAAAACTTTAATAACAAAACAAGCTCAAATAGTTATTTTACCTTGTTTACAATCCCACAATATTACTAGTAAGCCACTCTCTTTACTCATTATAGAAGGCGAATAGCGTAGCCAATCAGATTGCAGCAATTGGATTTGGCAACCCACGGCAATCACTGTCGTTTGCGGGTGCGGTCGACAGTGATTGCCGTGGGTTACCAAATCCGAATGCCGAATTTATTTCGTAATAAATGCAACAGCAAGCGAACCAGAGTAAAAGCTATGTTGATGTTGTGGTGTATACGTTCTTGTCGTTTCACGGCATTTTCGTGTAAATTTAAACCACGACTGTTTAATTTCGAAAAGAGCAAACTTTTGTTTTAATCAGCTTCGTGTTTACAAACTACTCTAATCGAATTACTGATTCATGACTCAATATTTAAAGGACACAGTCCAAGTGACTCACAGAACATGGCACTTGATATAGTTTCGATCTTAATGCAACCCGGAAATACTAATTGTAACCAATCGAGGAATCGATCGTGTTAACAACAAAAACCTTACCTGCTCAGTAAAGAGATCATGTCCATCCACCACGTAAATAACAAACGCCAGGGGATTTTCCAGCTGCTTTTTTACCAAGTTGTCCAGCGCTTTATTTTCATTTCTTCCAGGGGAGTCAATGATGGTTACACCACACTTCAAGAACTCGATATTTAAACCGGTCTCCACGATCGCCTCCACTTTACTTGGGTCACCACGATCCTCTGATTTGAGCTCGATCTTCTTTCGAGGGATTATGTTT